AAGTCGTCAAATTCGCCTAATTTCTCCCCTCACCGGCTTTTCCACCTTTTATTATATAGCAATGTTTTCATATGCTTCTACAACTGGCAGCTGTAAACTGTTTTGTATGTAAGCATTGCAGGTACGGATGGTTGAATGCCTCTGTACTTTCTCTGGCGCACAAAGAGTATGTGTCTGTGTATGTGGAGATTTAAAGCCATAATGGTTACAAATTGGCGGCACTCCTACAAATATCGACAGGGTAAACAGGGGAAAATTTAGTGAAAAATCTAACAATTCCTTTTAAGTGTTTCTTGCGCGGAGACAAAAAAGGAGAGTAAAATATATCACAGTGCATTACGGGAGAAAGATTACAAACAAATTGAAGGAAATATTTGCATATACACGCAGGCATGCATATATACACGTATACGTCAGGATATATATATATATATATATATATATATATATATATATATATATATATATATATATATATGTATATGATTGGTTGTATAAATTACAAAAATTATGTTTGCTTATTTTTATCATCATCCTTTCATATTCACGAATATTTTTCCGTGTATTACAACTGGATTATATAATCCAGCAAACCACCAGAACAACATTCCCTGGCAATTTGAACGTGGCCTTGTGAAAAGGCAGATTGAAGTAATTAATGATAACGTAATTACTATCAACAAATGGAAACAGGGCCTTATTCAATTGTAATATACAGAAAAATATTAGTGAATATAAAAGGATTATGATAAAAATAAGCAGATATAATTTTTGTAATTTAAAATTGAATTTGCTGCCTATATATATATATATATGTGTGTGTGTGTGTGTGTGTAAAAATTAAGATATAACTAAAAGTATTTGTCTAAAAAGGGATGTATAAAGACATAGGTAAGATAAATTTTCCTTATGTCTTTATTCCTATATAAATAGAGAGAGAAGTAATAGATATTAATGGTCAAAATAAAACATACATAGCATGTACGGTACTTAAAGTACTTTCAAACGTAGATTGTACAATCATAGGTCGTCATTTAAGCGAGCAAATCTTAGATATTCAAGCAAACTTGCTAACCATGCGTGGAATTTAAAAGAAAAAAACAACAACAGAGATCCGATTGTAAGGTGGAAAATTTACAAAAGCAAAAAACGATACAACTACAACAATATTTGCAAACCTCTGCCAATAGGATAAATTAGCGATTATGACATTTCCAGATCCCCCAAAAAAAACTTTTAAACCAGAAATCCGAAGTCTTAAGTCTTTGTTTACATATCAGAAAAAATTTCTTAAGTGCATATGAAGCTGGTTAAAAAAAAAAGTAATTTAACCCCACCAATACATTTAAAATAAACTTACTCTTCTTCTTCTTCTTCTTCTTCTTCTTCTTCTTCTTCTTCTTCTTCTTCTTCTTCTTCACATTCTCTTCCTCCCTTTCTATTACATCCAATGTCATGCGCTTGTTTATATTGTTTTTTTTTAAATAATAATGCAGCGTTCCTTAGTTTTTTTTGTTTTTTTTTAAATAAAAAGTGTTCAGCGGTCATTTTTAAAATTCGCCTGAGGATAACGTAAGGTTGAAACAAAACCAATGGATTCAACTGACCTCCCGATTTTTCAAGGATATATATATATATATATATATATATGTAAATTTACATTGAGCACTATTTTGTAATAATAAAATATCTATAAGAACACCGGATTTTATATCTTACTGTTCTTTCTTTTTTTTATATACATATATATATATATATATATATATATATATATATGTGTGTGTGTGTGTGTGTGTGTGTGTGTGTGTGTGTGTGTGTGTAACAATATAGTTTTAAGGTATGCTATATTTATGGGTTAAAGTGGTCAATATCAGTGTTCGGCCGTATGTAAATAAATTTAAAAGTGGACAGTACTCAACACCCAGTGACGAAAGTCAGTTTCGTGCCTAAACGAAATCATCCACCCATGAAAACACGAAAATCACGGTCGCCACTGTGTGTTCATCTTGATGTCCACTTTTATATATATATATATATATATATATATATAAAGAGAGAGAAAGATAGTCAATGTGTCCATATCATAACAAGTCGTTATAACTCCAGTTTTTTATCTGTAATTTTCACTGTTTAATTTATGTCCTCTCCGCCCATTGTATAATATTTTCTCTCTTCACCTATTATATAATCTTTGTTCTCTTCGACCCCAGTTAGGAGTTATAGCAAAGAAGACTGGGTTCTCGGGCCTTAGTTGGTAACTAGTCTAGGAGAAAGAAAACTGTGAATTAAAAAATTCGACGCGAGACCAAAAACTCTACCCTATAAAAACCTAGTTGCAACAGAAAACGTGGTCAGGTTGTGGCCATCTTCCGCGCAGGAGAATGTATTGCAGAAAGTCGATGAGGCGATAAATGCTAAAGAACATAATCTGGTTGACCATTTCTAGTGAGTAATGAGTCCCATCGTTCCTGAGTACACCAGACAAACATTCGTCATTAAGTAACACAAGGATTGCCATGCCATTAAACTATCATTAAAGACATCATTAAAACACCATATTAAAACACCATTAGACCTCAACCTAAATAAATTGGTGTCTTTGTGTGGGTTAATGTTTATCGTGACAATTCGGATTGACTATCAATCCAGTCCTCATTAGTTACCCTGTACAATATTCGACACCAGCTAAGACAATGATCTACAAAAGTAGTAATAAATTTCCGACCTTTAGATGCTATTGTCGAGATTTGTGACGTCTCTGGCTACAATTTTCCAGACTCCGCCCAACGCTACACCATCGACTGCATCAACGATGACCGACGCTTTATTGTATGAGGTGCAAAATCGTAGCATCGTTTCTAGGGGAAGCGAGCGAGGGAGATAGAGAAGACCCATGTCATCCGGTTGACCAAAATATCATCACCACGTGCTGGCTTGCCTCAGGAAGGTATCTGGGAGCAGCAAGGCATCTTGACCATTCTAATTCTTGTAGCCGTTTGTATGTCTTCTCGGTTTTATACCAAACCTGAAACAAAGGCAATCCACTACTGTCAGAATTCCACGGCCGTATGTTTCAAAACTCAGTTCAAGTGGATTTTCTGACTGGTAACAAATTCCTGAAGAATGAGGAAAAGCCTACAAGCAGCAGAAATGTGCTTCTACAGAAGGATAGTGAGAATTCCATGGGCAAAGTCTTATAGAAAATTTCAACAAAAAGAACACTTTACATTATTTACATTTATAATACCCAGAAATTCATACACAAATGTCCTCAAAGACACATGGCACAGTGGCTAAAGGCGTTGGTTAGATCCAGTGACAGGACCCAAAGTGTGTGAGTTCAATGCCTGGTTAAGGTGGTGGAGAACTTGGAAATGGGAATTAACAAGAGTTAACTGATAACTGACATCCATTAGACATGGCACGTGGAACTAGAACAGT